TTATTATTNTGTATATATATTAATTATTATAGTGTGTGGTGGTGTGTATTATTATTAGTGGTACTTATTGTATATAGTGTATATATATATATATATGTGTGTGTGTGTGTGTGTATAATATATATATATATATATATATATATATATAATATATATATATATATATATATATATATATCTTTGTCTGTGTCTGTGTCTGTGTCTGTTTGTTTTTGTGTATTTATATATATATATATACATATATATATATATACTAATTATATGTTTTGGGTTGGATATATACACATTTATTGAAGTCTATTATATTTTGGGGATTGGTTTCTAGTTAGTGCAAAGGCTAGAATCTGATTTATATAATTAACTAATGTCGAGACGAGTATGGAATTAGTATGAGATGTCATACGCAATATAGAGTATGGAGGTCTGACTTTGTGTGTAAACTTAAACATTCGCTCGACTCGACGATTCTGCATTGCAAATAATTTTCGGTTGAAAAATTGGATCATAGTTAATGCTTTTCATAAGACAAGCTTATGCGTCTACACAGATTCATTCTGAAACACTGCAACAATGTAATATAATTGTGCATATTGATTGTTTGTCGAGCAGATGGTACGGATAACATTAAGGTCGTGTTATAAATATATATATATATATATATATATATGTTAGGTTCGTAGGTAGTCTGGCACACGTATTATGCATTATATAGCTAAACTCGGTCACGCATGAAGGTGTGAAGTTTAGCTTGGTTCTTGTAGAACAAATTTTTGTGATTTCCGCACAGGAATTTATATTTTCTGCCTTGCTTCTCTCCACCGCCAATAGAGTATACCCGATGAGTCGGCAAACGGCTCGCGGGAGGAAAATATAATATTATTTGGTGATTTCAGCATAGAGGAAACCAAGGCGTGGCTGGTAGAAGCTGAGGAGGTATGTTTGTTGTACACGTTCAAGTCCGCTTCGTCCTTGCCAGTAGTGTTCGTGGCCGTGGATAACCGCGTGCGCGTGTGTATCCGTTTTCTTCTTTCTGCAACTCTCTTCGCTATAAAATAGGACGCGCGCTACGGACTCATATCTACTCAGCATCAGAGAAATAGAGCGATATGCTGGTCGATACCATAGGATCGCCTGTGCGTCAAGCACTACACCTTGTCTCTCACACGCATAAGTCGCATGTTACAATCTATTCGAGTGGCATTTTAGTACTGTATGTGCTTTCGTAGATCTTGTCTACATACTTTAACATTATTTCTCTAGGTTACCGACACTTGTGTCTGTTTTCGCTTGTTGCTGTACATGTGTGCCGTTTCGCTGTACATCCGACTTTGAAATCTTTGAGGGGATCTACGCACGGCTATTGATCACACTCTTTCTATGTGCGGGTACGTATATCCCTTTGTCCTATTAGTGCCTGCTGCCGTGTTTACTTGCCAATCAATACACTGTCTCTGTGCTTACATGGCACCTCCTGCCGTGCAGCTCTCTATCGTCCTACCCGCTCGAGGCACAGGGCATTCTCATCCCACTTCGGCGGAACGTTTGCGCCAAGCTCAGCCATGGCCTACCTCTGGTGACTCCTGTGGATCGGATCAGGGTGCCGGCACACACTTGCAGCTGCAGCTACAACAACAACTGCAAGCGCATGCGCAGAAAGAGGGCGAACTCGTAGCCGCACAAGTTCTCCATAATGCAGACGAGCCAGTGCCGTCTGAAAGCCAAGAGGTACCCTCAGTTGGGCATTCTCAAGAGCTGAAAGACCAACAGGCGGACAATCGCCCGCTCGTGGCACAAGGAGATATACAACAACAACAACAGACCACTCTACAGCAGCAGCAGCAATTGCAACCACCGGTCGCACTGCAGCCGCAACCGGCACAGATAATCCAGCAACATTTACCACAGAAGCTGCCCAGGCAAGCGGGCGATGTGAACCAGAAAATGTATAAATATAACCCATTGGCACCCTCCTTCACACCGTCCCATGGACCTTCGAGTCCTATATCAGACAACAGTAGCGTCTCCAGTTTGAATAGAAGTGCGGAGTCACTACAAGGCCACACGCCGCAGAACATACAACTGCAGCAACAACAACAACAGCAGCAGCAGCAGCAGCAGCAGCAGCGACATCAGCAGCATCCGCAACACTCGCACCATGGTCATGCACACGCACACCCTGGCTACAACGGAATGCATATGCAGAATGGCGTGGGCGTGGACGGTCCTGGGATGCTGAATTCTGGTGTCGTACCGAACATGGCCATGTTTATGCCGATGCCTATGCAAGGGCTGGGCATGGGGGATGACGGGTTCCGCTTTAGTAATCACTATAATAACGGCGGACACCCACATGTGCATGCCCAAGCACGCGCGCATGCTCAGGCGCAGGCGCAAGCACGGGCACACGCTCAAGCTCAAGCTCATGTGCATGGCCGAACGATGATGTCACCGCAACACCAGCATCGCCAACAAATGCAACAACAACAGCAACAACAACAACAGATTCATATACAGCAGCAGCAGCACCTACAGCAGCACCAACAGCACCCGCACCAGCAACACCGACACCCGCACCAACAACAACACCCACACCAACACCAGCAACAACAACACCAACAGCATCAGCAAATACGGCAAATACAGCAGATGGACGAACAACACGCCCAACACCACCCACACCATCATCAAGCACAGTTGATCGGTACGAGTGCGCCGATAGATTCGACGGATAATTTAGAAAAGCAGCTGCACACTCAAGGCGCCGCTATGGATGAGGGGGTGTCGCCAGTGCCTGATGGCAGCGGGGATGTGCTCATTGATATCCCAGAGCTTCCGGTCTTTACAGAGCCGACGCCTGCGTTAACCACTCACACACACGCGGCAACACCGATACATCAGGAACCCAAACCATTAGAAGTTGTGCCAACAGAGGTGGCAGTCGCACCGGTCGACAGCAGCACATCGCCACAAAGAGAAGAGGATGCAAAGGCGAAAGCGAAGACAAAATCAAAGTCGAAGGCCAAAACGAGCCGAAAATTGGAGGAACATGTAAATATAATTATACCATCACAGGCAGATGGGGGCGGGAGTGTAGTTCCTACTTCAGAGAAGCCCACAGCACACGGAGATACTCTGGAGAAAGAGGTGGGTGGTAGTATCCAGGCGTCGGCTGTGGCGAAGAATTTAGGTGGTCAACATGATGAGGAAGTGTTGTCAACGGTACCGCAATCAGGTACATACACACACCCCGATGCACCAGGACTGACCCAGTCACACACACACACACACACACACACACAGACGCAAATACCGCAGGCACCAATTGAACCGCAGCAGCCGCAAGCGCAGGTGAATAGTGTGCATGTCGAGGAGCAGGCGCCAGCACAGACACAAATAGATACGAGCTCACACACCGCGGCACAAATACCAACAGATGCTCAGGTGCAGAAATCGAAGCAACTTCAAGCACAGATACAAAAACCAACGCTTGTGTGCCAAACATCCGTACAGGCTGCGGCGGCGCCTACTGAGACGGAAAGCAAACCGCCAGCTGTGGTCAAGAACGCCTGGGGTATACCCGCACAGCCCAGAGCACAACCGCGCACACAGTTACCCACACAAGCACACACCGCCCCACTTACACAGAGACAGGGTCACACACCCACACAAGGACACAAGACTCCTTCAAGCGATACACACAAGCCGGCTTCGCGCAAAGCAGCCAGCGCACAGGCACACAAAGTGGCCAATGGTCACGCGCCAGGTGCGCCCAGGACACAATCGAAAACTCCGACACAGCCGAAGTCGCAGTGGCAAACACCGTCACAGACACCGGCACGAACTAACACACAAAGCCACAAAGAGGGCCGCAGAAAAGGCGCCGTGAACACAGCACCACCCGCCAGCACCCAACCACAGTCACAGCCACAGTCAAAGAGCGCCCCACACAGTGCGGCGCCAGCGGCTGCGGCGCCGAAAGCACAGCCCGTCCCCGTGAGGGTCGGGCCTCCAGTTAATGTGTGGAAGATGAATCCACGCGCACTCACACCCACTGTGCCCACTGCGGCTGCTCCAGCCGCGGCCAAGGATGCGCAGTCGATCAGAGCCAAGGATAAGACACAGCCAACAGCCATAGCCCAGGCGCAACCGCAACCGCAACCGCTTGCACAGGGACAGGCCTCAGCCACGGCAGCGGAAGCAGCGGTCGCGCCAGTAGGCTCAGTCACAGCAGACTCTACCACAGCACAACACCGCACGCTGGAGGAGGAACGGATACCTAAGCCCGCGGAGCCTCAGGCAGCGGAGAACACAGCGACAGCGGACCAGCCAACAACCGAACAAAGTGCCCCGTCCACACCAGCTAAGGCGCGAGCACCGCCATCGTCGTGGTCTAAACTGTTCGCAAAGCCACCGACTGCCGATGGCGGCAGCCAAGGCACTCCTGCGCCACATAGCACTTGTATGTCCGTGTTTGAAGGTGCTGTACTTGCAGTCGAGAAGATTGTGCTTATGTAGTAGTATAGTTGTGTTTCTAGACGGTATTGTCTTTCGGAATTTTGCAATGTTTTGGGTATGGGCATCAGCCTGAATCCCACACTCATGTCATTGGAACGTGTTATGCGGTGAGTCCGCTTGCACTTGTGACAATTGATTTGTGCAATGCAAATGAACTGCTTGTGGCGTATCCACCTCCTTAGAAGCACTCACCTACGTATGCCGCTTTATTTTAATTATTCCAAACTTGTCATCTTTGATCACGCCCACACTGTAGTTGCCGCCGGCGCCAACAGCAGTGAAAGCCTCGCAGAGGATGTCGACACCCCTCTCCCCACAGACATCAAGCGAGACAAAGCTCGCACACACACCACGTGTACGTCCCTCAGCGATGTGCTTGTGCACTACGACATCGCGACAGTCATCCCGTGGTCCAGTCTGCAGTATACGTCACGGGGTCTGATCAACCACACGAACATGTGCTTCATGCACACTATACTGCAGACCCTACTCGCCACCCCCTTGTTTAGACAGTTCCTAGTAGAGACCCAGATGACTTTCCCTAGCCTGTCGGCGGCCAAGCCCAAGGCGGCGGTCCCCACCCCGATTCTAGATGCGCTCACACATTTCTTTAAGGCGTTCGATGTGTCCAATCCATCCAAGCGGAAGTTCTCCACCGAGACACAGGCCAATGGCGGCAGACACAACTTTATTGGAGAGTCGTTTCAACCACTCAAACTGTACGAAGTGATCCAGCGAGTGCGAAGGTGTGTAGCTTTGAACGGCCTGTTGTATATTAGTCTACAAACTACAAAAGAACTTTTCTACACCATAGTGTAGAGAGTTTGTGGCATGGTACTTTTGAAAAATCTCGAACAATTATGGATTGAGTTCTTACAAACAATTATCCGGCTTTGAGCACAATCGATCAACTTGACAGTTCACGGTAGATACAAACTGCTTTTTGTGTAGTCTGATGCTGACTTACACGATTGCCAAGAGCAATTTCGATTCCCGATCACTCCCGAATACAAACTCTGAAATTACATACTTGTTGAATGAGGGAGTGGCCACTCACTATCCCTGTTGGAACCCTTCTCACACTAGGCAAGCTCTAGGCAGCCAAGAAGACGCCGAAGAGTTCCTTTCGTTCGTGCTGGACACTCTTCACGAGGAATGCCTCGCAGTGGTCAAGGCAAACAATATCGATGCATCCGCTGGCGCTAAAAACGGTGCGGATTCGATGGATGGCTGGGAAGAGGTCGGCAAGGGTAACAAAAAGGTCGTCACCCATCAGGTGTGTGTAAGATACGAATTTCGTCGGGCATATGGTTGGCGGCGCTGTTTTGTATATGGAGTATATAAAAGTAATCGTTTGTGTGCTTGCGAGAGGTGATTCCGAGGCAGTATATATGTATGTATTCTCATCTATCATGCTAGTGGCAAGTAGTTTGTGATGAGACCTGTGGATGTCAGGGCATTGCCTGTGTTGCAGTGTTTTTCTTCAGCCATGTCGGCTCGCTTTTAGAATAGATAGTATCTCGTTAACATCAAGACTTAGGGCATTTCATAAAGGCCCAGATCAACTCATTTTATCAAGGCCAAATTTTGGGCCATTAATAATCCTATTCGAAATTATCACGCGGTAGGCACCGGGTAACTGGAGTGTGAAGCCTTAAATACTTTGTCGAAACGAGTAAACCTTGCACTATATGAGTGTGGGGAACATTACGCCAAAACATGCTTTTGTGGCTGGACTGCATTCATATCCATTACATTTCCCATCTAAAAGCACAACTTGGACTATAGTTTCAAAGCATAGCTGGATTATAGTTGTGTGTCCATTTCTGTCCCCGCCGAATTCTTGTCGCTGTGTTTGTTTGCTCAGTATGTTCGTTCGTGTGCGCTCCATCCTCTGCTTGTGGCTGTTGCGCTGTCTATTCTATCGATACACTTATCAGAAATGATGTGCCTTGTATTAGCGGCTAATGTATTACAAACTCTGTTGTCCATGCCGTTTGTCTATGATATATGCGGACGTGTATTGTGCGTGTGATGTATGTATATAAAGTAGGCGTACGTGTTATATTTCTGGTCCGGGTGTTCTCTGAGTAGAAGGATGTGGTTGTCCTGTTTAGTGGCCCAGTGCTGGTATGTGAGCCACACTGTTTGCGAATTGGCAGTTGAATGTGCGGGAAATAAAAGTTTTCTGAACCTCTTTTTCTCAAATTACAATAGTGCTGAGCGATACCTTTTGCCATAGTTTTCTGGGGATATGCGCATTGTGCATTTTGAACTTCAATTACGAGTTTGTAGACTGCACACCGCATCACCCACACATTTCAGCACAGCAATGAAGTCCATTGCTCTCGTTCAGTCTAGTGGAAGGTACTTTCGTACTAACTACTACCCCTTCCCACTCTACCGAGCAAAGAAAAAACTTCTGTTGGAAACCGCTAACGGCGATTTTATCATTTACACACCTGTTTCACAGAGCGAATTTCTCTCGTCGCCGGTGACTAAAATATTTGGCGGCACAGTCCGATCGAGTTTAAAACGTGCCGGATCGAAAGCGTCTGTGACATTCCAACCGTTCCACAGTCTGCAGCTCGAGATTGCGGTATGTTATATGAACACCTGCGCAAGCACATACGCCGCCCAGCCTTTACTGTGTGGATGTCTACCTGGGTGTTACCTGCGTCATAAATGGATCAAGCGCTAGATCATCTGGTTGTGATGATCAGTCGCTGTTGGTGTGATTTGTTTTTTATGTAATATCGGTGGGCCGTTACACTGTATAGTCTCGCATGTATATATATGTCTTTGTTCTTACGTTGTCAACCGTTACACTGTATAATCTCGCATGTATATATATGTATTTGTTCTTACGTTGTCAACCGTTACACTGTATAATTTCGCATGTATATATATGTATATGTTCTTACGTTGTCAACCGTTACACTGTATAATCTCGCATGTATATATATGTATATGTTCTTCCGTTGTCAAACTTGGTTCAAGAGTGTTCTAATTGCCACGTCTCCAACGGAAGTACAGATACGTATGTGGCCCATGCCTTCTATTATTAACTCATCGACCTCGAGCCAGCTTTTTAAGTATCAGTATCGAGATTTCGGCCTCGTTTTACTCAAACTACACACAAAAAAGTAAGTACTCGTCCTTTCCATCTCGTATATATCTTTGCAGACGAACGATGTACACAATCTCAACGATGCGCTGCGTCATTTGACTCTGCTTGAACATCTCGATGGCTTCACCTGCGAGACGACAAATCTAACGATATCCGCCGATAAGCAGTCTCGAATAGAAACCTTGCCCCCTGTACTGGTATGCTATCTGTGCTATGAACTCGAATGGTTTGTATATAGTTGTAGCGTTGCTTTGAAGCTGATTGTTGACATGGTCTTGCAAAGCACGTTACTGTCAAACCAAGACCTTTGTGAGGTTAGTTGCGCGTTTTTGGTCTGTGTATGTTAAACAAGATGAATCAGTGGCCCAAGTGGGGGCGCAATATGGGCTTTTCAACCACAGACGTAGTTTTTATTGCTATTGTGTGGAGGTGTGACACAAGCGCCACTCGGGGTGAAAATATGGATTCGGAAGGCCTTAAACGATAACTGTCCAGACGTAGATTATCGTCCCAAGTTGAGGGGGATGAGAGGACAGGCGTTTGACCGCTACAAAGGTTGGGTGATGCTGTAGTGCATGGGGGTGTATGTGGTTCGTATTCTATTTAGGTGTATCGGAGGCTTATAATTCTTTGGTCATATACAATATCAGGTGCTGCATCTCAAGCGATTCGTGTACGATCCGGAGACTGGAATCAGGAAACTACACAAATTCGTGCCGTACCCCTTGCACCTCGAAATATCCGAAGGTAAGATGCTCTCAATCACGAAAGAATCCGTTGCACTGTTATATACCTCGTTATTCACGTTGTATCTACATGGATTGCCACGCATTGCGTAAATTATGTCCGCATACATTTGATTTCCGCATACGTCGTAGACTTCTCAGGCAACGCTTACTGTCTACTTTCCACGATAGTCACCATCATCTACTCAACCCTTGAGAAGATAAACAGATTGTAAATCATCCACTTATGTGACATATTGTCAAAAAAAAATATTAAACTAAAGATGAATGGCGTATTGAAAATAAATCCCGCCAATTGGCACGCGGGGGTTGTGGTAAGTTTGAACTTGCACTAGTGAAATCGCATTGCACGCTTGAAAGCAGGGCGCTAATCGATAGTAGAAGGATCGCATATTATCTGAAAAAAATATTTAGAGAAGACCATGGCAGTACAGGAAACTCAAGCATAGCTGTGCTTCATTCATATTTGAATAAATGGGCTCGAAGTGGTGGTGGCTTCCAATCACGCTCACGCTATGTACTTCCTTGCAACATGTCGATTAAAAGAGGGGAGGGGGTGGGTTTGTATACTCATTTTTCTTTTGTACTTGAACCCGCAGATCTACTCGGCACGGCTCCCAAATCCGGAAAATTGAAAGGAATAGAGCGAGAATACAGGCTGTTCTCAGTGGTTTATCATCACGGCGAGGTATGCGGGTGGCAATCAGCATTGTACTGATACGTAGGGTGTGTGCTCTGCGTGTGATACCTATTGAATGTCAATGCTACCAACTCAGAGAGAGCACTAAACTAGTATGCATGTGCCGTGTCCATTTGTCTCGAGCTGTCCGCTAGTTTGGCCGGTGTACTCTCGCTGTGTGACTATCGGGACATAACACCTTACTGTGTAATGACCATCGCTGTATTGTCAGCATTGCTCATTATAGAGTCGCAGAATGTAAAAACCGTTGCGCAAACAATCCACATGTGTTGGAGGGTGACGTGTGTTTGGTAATATTCGTTCATTAAACGTGTCTTTGAGCAGTTCCGTTCAATTGTGGCTATTCGCACGATTCGAACTCACTTGGGGGCTGTCGTCTAGCATCCTTAGGATCAAAGTGAATATACATATGATGAAGATTCCTAACTATGTAAACCTATAAATAGGCGGCCGAGGGCGGGCACTACACATGCGACGTGCGGAAACCAGGAACCAAACTCTGGAACCGATGCGACGATAGCAAGATCGAGCCAATCTCACCCGACGAGGCCACAGGAGGTATCGAGTACCTCTCAACAGACCAACACGACTCACTGGGGACACCCCAGGCGTCCAATCGACCGCGTTCTCCTTTACCCTCGGGGAAGAATCGCGGAGATGCATATATTTTGTTCTATGAGAGATGCGATTTGGAGACGGCCATGTGTCCGGAGCCGGCAACGGCGGCTGAGGCACTAAAGGCTGTTAATAGCACGGGGAGTAGTAAAGCTACTAATAGCTCGAGTGTGTGTAGTAGTCCAGCCGGTGCAAAGGCGAATAGGAGTGCGAGCTCAGGCATGGATACCACCCAGAGTGTGATTTCACACGCGGGCGTGAGTGTTACGGTCAATGCCGGTTCAAACTCTGGCTCGGCTAAGCATGCATCGCAACACAGTGGACCGAAGAAATAAGAAATTAAGGTAACAGAAGAATTAAGGAAATAAAATAAACTTTTAATTTGTAAACTGAAAACAAAGGAAGCATCGGGTTATGCTATTGGAAAAGGAAAGCTTCGATGCATTTGTATCTCCTAGTATGGTACACAGGAGCGAGAAGCTGCGCCTACCATGCGATTTTCAATCACGCTCTACTTTTGTAGTTTATAATATTTTTGTCCAAAATCTTTGACCTCCTTATTCTTGTCTGAATTCAGAAAATTATGCCTTCACTTCTTGAAGCAGGCGGTTAGAAAGAGCCCACTTTTTGAGTTTTTTTTTTGGGGGGTCCCGCACCTCGTTCCCTCCCCACTATTTGTTGACATGGTGTGGTTTCCTGTGTATCAATTTTAGAATTTGGGCTCTCAAGGTATATCACAGCCAAAAAGCCTGCGCAATCTGGGAATTCAAAACTGGGTGCACGTGTATTTTATTTCCTCAGAATTCGACCGGGCAGACCTAGTCAATTTACTGCCCTACCCAATTCTAATTTTTGAATAAGGACTCGATCACATCATTCGCCGCGCTGCGAGTCTCTACACATTCGCGTACGATGGCCTTTCCCCAAGATTCATGCGGCCGCCGCTTCACTGACAATTGCATACCCAGCGTCTGTGAGTGATATGTAGTGTAGTAAGAGAGTGAGGTTGGGGCCAAATGGAAACGTACGCGGTACTATTTTGTATAGACATAATCTGAATTTGAATTGAGGGTTTTGTAATGATGGAATCCGAAATTAGTCTGCATCGTAACGTGAATTCGAGTAGTACACAGGACTATTAACATGAACATGATCTAATTTAACGATTGTCTGTATCATAAATGATAAGCGTCTCACGCTACACTACTTGAGAGCCATTCAAAGTACAGGGGGTAATGGCAGTCAGCTCCGCCAGACAGTGTTCTTGTATATCGGTATTAAGTAATAGACGACGATCATCATACTGCCATGGCTTTGCTTTTAAAGGTGCAGTCAGGTATCACCCTTGACAATATTTGAGGTCAAAATGAACATTCACAAATTAAATTAGAAGACAACCGCTCTCACTTCCGCCAACCGTAGCCATTCGCAAACTCCGAGTAAGCATGAGCTGATATGAAGGACCCATGGCGGTTGACAGCTATGAGTTGGTAACATGTTTGTGAAGGGACGGAGTAGAGTGGGTATTAGAGTTTTTTTGGAGATTGCACCCAGTTTGTACTGATTTTTTTTTGGGTCAAATTGTATTTTAAACCTATATTATCGATGACATAATCTGTAGGCCATATGAATATTCTGGACATTTTGAACAACTCGAAAGCTATACCAGACTTCGAGCACAACTTTCCCGAAATATGTTTATATATATTTCTATCCCAATTCTCGACCTATAAAGCCCAACTATAAGCGTGATTTCACCCGATTTGAAGCTAATTTAGTCCATTTCTGGCCTTTTTCAGTCTATATTGGTCGAATATTAGGCCGAAATGGTTATTTTGGGGAAAGTTTATTTCAGGGCTGCAGGATTTGTCCAAAAGTCCCGAAAATAATTTCTGTGGACAGAGATACGTTTTGACCAGTCAATTCCAGTACAAACTCGGTGCCATTTCCAGTTGATTCGAATTTCCACTCTACTTCGGCCCCTCATTGTTTAAACCACGAATACTTTTGTACAAACCACAAAAAATGATGTATTAACCATGCATAAGATACAGGATACTACGGTGATACACATACCTAAACTATAGCACACAAGCTTACCCGGTGTACTTCGTCTCCCACACGGCGGTGCTGCACGATGATGCCTGCGAACTGCAGTCCCAGGGCTCTCGAATTGTGCCGTTCGACCACTTGCGCTAGCATGCTAGGCCAGTTGAACTGTATATGCGCACAGATAAAGAGATGATAGAGACAAGCAGATAAAAGAAACGAATGAGAAAAGCAGATAAAGAGGTTAATGAGACAAACAGATCGACTAGAAAGGACATACAACACAATCACCATCGACACTCACGTATACCGTAACATATATGCCGATAATCAAACCCCTCAATAATTGGCACTAATCCACCTTATCGCACAATGATATCATCCCACGCCTACCTGATACTGTATCCCATTTGGGAAATTCATAATGACTCCGAAGTAGCATAGCTCCAGCAACATGTCAATCATCTTGTCCCAGGTGGTGGCGTGGTAGTACACGCGCATGGCAGCCAGGTACATCTCCTTACGCACTGGCCCATCCCGTTCGGATCGCGCGCTTTCGACAATCAGGTCTCCCATGCGCTCCGTACAGGATATCTGAGAGGTGCAAGAGTAAGTGGACGTTGTGAATGGCGTGGTTTAATTGGTAGTAGACAGAGCAGGACATCTGAGATCCAATCCGACTAACTAATAGTGAGTTAACTGACAACGATGTATGCACTAGCAATACGAAAGAACGTATGTAGAATAATTGGTCGTCAACGGGATAGATAGTTGGACAGGGTAGATTTACTTGGTCGAAGGTGATACAGGATGACTGAGAGACGCATAGAACGACAGACTGAACTAATGGTTTTGTAAATTATGCATTATATTTGAGAGGCAGAAAAAAAAGAGAGAATTATAAATGCCATAAATGAACCTCCCTAGACTCAGACCCAGGATAACTCGACCTACAGAACCCTGATTAACGTTATTTATAAATAGGCCGTGTTTCGAGAAACAGATAGAACAGAAGAAAAATGAAAATTCCCAGACCTGGTTGGTTGCGTGCACCTGGACGGTAGCCGACATCACAAAGTTATTAATTGGCACCCACCAATAGCGCTACACGCTGGTTGACATACGATAGCGTGCGATCGAACTACATAACTGACGCACAGTGCACTAATAACGAAGCCCTGGGACAGTGCGGTACTTAGGATGTTGATCCTTAAAACTATATCGATCGACCTAAAACTCAAGACAAATAGAACCTCAAAACCGCATATTCTCCGTCATGTGAATAGGCCTAGAGTTAGAAGTGAATGTTGACATTTCGATTGTGCAAACACTTACATTTTGGGTCACGCGTACATCGTCCTGGCTGGTGTACTGACTCAGCAATCGATAGTCTCGCGTTCGGTTGCTCTCTCTCACCAGCGCCAGCGATTCATTCTCATTCAACCGTATCCCGGTCTCAGACAACGAGCGGTAGTACTGGAGATGGGTGGGATCGCCTGCCTCCGCTTCTAAAATCTCGAAATACTCAACCATATCGCGCAATAGAGGACCCTGTAGAGAAAACAGAACTAAATATCAGATGCTGCTGCCGCCATGCTAATCAGCTATGGATGATCTCGGGCAATATAAACAGATATACTGTACAGGAACATGGCAGAATATAACATATATCGAGGTGACACTGGTAGCCAAGCAACTGCAAAGATACCAAGCTATGAATAGTGCTAAACGTGACATATCCGAATGCAGGTGCACACGCACCTCAACATCACGGGAGGACTGTGCACAGTTACGCTCGAGTTGAGCGGGCAGGCAACCTCGCCGTATGCATCAACTGATACAGCTCCTCGCACCCAGACATGCAATATGAGTTCATAAGACGACACTCCCAGCCTGTGCACAACGCCTATAGGCCAGTCCCTTGGTATAAACTAACCTCTGAAACAACTATATCCCGAGAGTCTGAACTACACTTACCGCTGAGCTTCTACCAGTATACTGTGCCGCATTGATGTAGTCTCCACGTTTGAATATGGCTGCAAACCTCACCAACATCGCCTTACCCTCTGTTCGGGCTTCTAAGCTGTCGGAAAAGCCGCTTTCGAGCTGCTGAAGTGCAATCTCCGGGGCCTGTCATATGGTCAGGAGTTAAGAATAATAGAAAAATACAGAACTTGGTGAGGATAACCCTTGTACACTTCACCATACGCCATACAATGGAGTCATCTATACGTCTAGAATTTCTAAATGCCCGACGGGAATTGCAAAATGTAACCACGTCTGTAAAGGAGAGATTCACCAGCTTAGAAATGGGATCAAGAGATTGCCAATCTAACACGCAACAAAAGACTACGCTTATATGAACTTACCTTATCCTGCAAAACGTTGCAACCGAACGAGGTTGCCTCCTTCAACAGTAGCTCGGCCAGAACAGGCATGTCTAGAACTCCTGATAGACAGATAAATGGAACAATGACAATGTTACAAATTGTTCAGCACTTTGGTCCGAATAAGCCAATAACTGCTGCACCACCAAATGCGATCGATATGTAGATCAAAATTCAGGCGTCCTGCATGATAAAATATGCAGGTACTCAATAGCCACTAACAAACTCCACGAGTATGGCAATGCATCTCACATACCGAGAGGTATCCCATAAGCCTTCACTTGCTTGAGAACGATGTAGTAAAGGCCGTCCGCTGCCAGTTAGTGAGTAGTAGAGGGAGCCAGTGGCGTGTTAGTACTGAAGTAGGAATTTTATAATACATATTTATTGATTCTTGGGCACTAAAGGCCTCCACGCCGCTTATACGCATATTTACCAAAATCGGTATACAAAAACGGCATTTATACTAACAAACCACCTCTAAAGTGATCTGTGCTCATTTGCGTATGCAGTTTGCGTGGGTCCAGAAATGTTTCGCCTCGCCCACTCTCGGTATATATATATATACTCCAATCATCAAATGTATTGACAGGAACAAATAAAACTGTCTACATATACACAGTTTACATACTCGGGCATGCATCAACAATATTTATAGATATATATTTATACATATATATTTAGACATATGTATATTATGTATATATATATTATGTATTAATATATTATGTATATATATATATATATATGTGTGTGTGTGTGTGTGTGTATATATATATATATATATATGTATATATATATATATATATGCATAATTTGTATAAGACCAGAAGAATACTTTGTATTTGTATACTCATGTCGTACGTAAGTACGTACAAACCTCCACGGAAATATAACACAAAGATAAACGAATACACATCTCTTCAAATACGTCTCACGGATACAACCTAGGTACCATCGTCAAACCTTACAAGAATATCTGCAGTCATTGGTGCATGCACACGCCTGCGTAGTTCGGTACATACCAGGCTGAATCGAACGACGGCCCAGCAGTTCTATTTTGATATGCGACCCGACAACGATATCTGGGGCGATATTGAATACCTGTGCCTCGCTGATGTTCCCGCATACCATAATATCCGATACGTAGTGCCACGCGTGTTCGCTAAATCCCACTGAGATGCGCACGCGCTGCGGACCGTATGTTGGTAGTCTGTTGACATGGGCCATGGGAAGGGTATCGTAGATAGGGGGTGAGCTACAATTCGAAGCGGAAATGCTTACTTGCACAGACCTATGTACGCGTACTACACTAGCGCTCAGTTTCAACATAGTATTGGTGCTACCAGATGGACGGTAGCTCAAAAGGATCAGAAGTTAATATCGAATGTAGATCAACTGCTATGATGATCTTGAAAAGTATAAAGTAGAGCCTTTTGCCAACTATACATATTTTATTCGTGTGCCATCATCAAATAAAAAAATAAAATATAGAAACCAATTTTTGAAAATATTTGCAGATTTCCATGTGTATGCATTGGTGCAGGTACACTTGTACGAATGAGGTCCGTAGGCATGTGGTATATGCCTATATAAATATATGAAGAAGATGCAATATTGGCATGGCGTACCACTAAATAAATTTGGGGCTATGAACATTTGAACAAAGATTGAAACTACCTCGCAAACATTTTTCAATATATAGCTGTATACACATAAGCAACCATTTGTATACGTATATACATGTGTGCATATGTGCATATGTGCATATGTATATACGAATAGAATTCAATACCCTCGCGTACGTGTGTACGGCTACCCACACAAGTACTAGAGAATCCCATACAAACACCAAAGGACTTATAACACCAAATAACTATTCGCATGTATAAAACATACCCATGATGCGACACTGCCTTAAAGGGGAAAATCTCGACCGCCGTGACCACACATACAGGCTGCACTAGTTTGTACGCAACGCATTCGGGTGGCGTCGTTGTTGTTGTGCCTATGCTACTCCAGAAGCTAGATCCATTGTGCAGAGTATTCGCAAGGATCTGATCCTCGCGGTCAGTCGTGCTTGCATATACACCCCTGTCAATGAGTGGGTAGACATAGTCCCTGTGTTTCGACTGCAGATTCACTGTCAAAGGAGCGTTAAAGATAGGAATCAATACAAGATTACGCTGAAATACTCCATTCATAGCGTACGAATATAGGAGCTGTAGGGCAGGAGTGACGCCCTGTTCTCCTCACGGTTTACAAAACAATGACTACGATGACCAATTGCCAATGGTTTCAAACACTGAGGCGTATACATGTGGATTCATCTCCCCGGAATCTCTGATACAGTGCGCACCCAAAACAGTTCATACCTAAATCCGTCCATATTTGCTTCCAATTCACATCCGATTCGGCCGAAGGCGAACTGCAAAACTCCTTCCCGTGTTGCTTTCCCAATCGCAAGCGCGGGGGCCTCCTCCGGCATTCAATGGTCCACTCTCCAGTATCGTCTCTCGACGTCCGTTGACACAAGTCCCGAAACAGTTCTGCATACTATCCATGCGTATGATCAGAGTTTTGCGGATGAGCATCCCGTGCAATTCGTTGGTACAACGCGCAACCAAGCAGACAGAATATATGACAAGGCAATATAATATACACAAATCTGTTAAACAACCCCCCACATACAAACACACAAAAATAAAAAATTGAACAATCTTCTTTCCAAAAGCATATTATACCCAGAATGATGAAGATCACCGCCCGTGTACACTATCTCGCGACAAGCGTAGCCTCAACTATAACTCATAGGCGTAAAAAGATGCCAAACCATAAAATGACAGGGGAAAACACAATAGCGCTCATAAATACCGTAATAATACTATATATATAATACTATATATAATATTATTATTATATATTTTATACTATGCATTATATACACATATATATATAATCGCAATATACATATACATATATATATATATATGAATATATATATATATATATAAATATATATATATATATATATATATATATATGTGTGTGTGTGTGTGTGTATATATATATATACAGTATGTATGTATGTATATATATATGTATAAATATATATATATAAATATATACATATATACATATATATATATTTATATATATATATATATATACATATATACATATATATATATATATATATATATATATTATACATATATACATATATATATATATATATATATATATATGCGCGTGCATGTGTTGTGTTCCTGTATGTATATATATATATATATATATATATAACATGTGTGTGTGTGCGTGTGTGCAGAATATATATATATATATATATATAAATATATAAATATATATATAACATGTGTGTGTGTGTGTGTGTGTGTGTGTGTGTGTGTGTGTGTGTGTGCGTGTGCGTGTGTGTGTGTGTGCGTGTGTGCGTGTGTACGTGCGTGCGTGCGTGCGTGTCTGCGTGTGTACGTGCGTGCGTGTATGCGTGTGTGCGTGCGTGCGTGTATGCGTGTGTGCGTGTGTGCGTGTGTGCGTGTGTGCGTGTGTGCGTATTTTGACATATATACAACTGAATGTGAGCAGCTAGTTTGAATGACTTATTTCTAAAAATACTCGCGAAAATATACAAACGTACAGCACTCGGTTGATATTCCTAAACCTCGCCTACATGCACAATCGAAGTTATAACGAAATAACTTCTAACTTATCCGCGGACGTTGAAATAAAAATCTTAAGTATAGCACGAATTCAAATATAACAAATACCAGGACATATCTTACAGTTAATCAGTCGAATCGGATGGTATTTTACGTTCTCGTTTCGATTAGAAAATTGAAACAAACATACAATGAGAACAAAAGAACATACGTTTATGACGCTTCTGAAGTTGCGACTCACGCAGGACACTCGCAGCAGGTCTCGGCCAGGAAGATACCGTAGTATATTCTGGATTAGTTCAGCTGGCAAGATTTCAAAGTGATCCATATTGTTGTTTGATTTGGCCCACTGATTTATTATGCCTCTGTATATATTTACCCAGTACGTTGTATTGTAGGGGCCCGTACCTGAAGCCTGTTGATTCACAGTGATAACATCTGGAACTTAACTCGGCCAGGCGAACGGTCTTAAATGACCCGTACACGGAAAATGGTATGTATAGCAATTAACAAACCATGTATAACAATTTTAGCAAACCTCTCTCCGCTCTCGAGTGCTTAAGTGGCTAATTATTGCTTACCAAGAGACCTATAAGAACAATGCTCGCTGCTTTTCCAGCTCTATAAAAAAGAGTCTC